CAGAACGAAAAGCAACCGTATGTCATATTAATGAAAAATAATATATTCTGATTTATTCTGGGATCACGATCAGGTCCTTTCCTGTCATTGAGCTTTGAGGAGAACATTTACTTTTGAAGGTAAGGGACTGACGTACTCGCCATTTGTTTTCTATGTGTTTTCGGTGTTACATACAAGAATCCACACACCAATTTATTTTTCTTTTTCTTTTACGAGATGACGTCCGAGTGTTGGCGGCCAAGCGAATAATTCTCGTACGATTAACTTGATAAAAGCGACAACAGCGATTTTCGTCAAACTCGAAGGAAAAACAGATTTATTTAGGCGGAAGGCCAGCACTCGGTGTCTCCCATTTTTTTCTTCTATCTGGTATGATGGCACCTCACGCTACCTCAATAACACCCTAACATCGCTCCCGATCATTCTCTGCTCCTGCGGCACTCCTGTTAGGTTCGTGCGCCCGTCGATGACGGTTCATGTAAGCTGTTGCAAAAAAGAAAAAGAAAAACGTCACATACTCTATCTCTGTAATTCACGTTAGCACGAACCGCCAGCAGAAGAAACCGTACCGATCCCATGTCTCAGACAAATCCTAATGCAGCGACTTGGGACAATTCAGTTGATTGCCTGGCAAACGATACGAATAGCGGACCATTCTATTCTAATTACATACATTTTACAATATACTAGCGAATAGCGAAAAGAACGACCAAGTTCTTTTCCGAGAAAAAAAAAGATAAACGAAAAGAATGAAAAGAGAGAAAACCTGTTTTCTCGACCGGGCCAACCCAAATCGCTGTCCGAAGCTTTCCCGGCGCTACTTTACATGCTCGCCACATTCTCACATTTTATTGTGTATCTACAGGGTGTCACACAGAACTCGGACGAGTTTTAATCCTTGAAAAGGCTCGGCTCATCGGTAGAGCGCGGAAGGCGAGATTAGATGGTTTCTGCTGCTCTAGCTTCCCGTATGACTGCAATTTGTTTATGCGTTTGCATGCGGTTACAGAACCTCGGTGCACATTATTTGGAAATGGAAACTTGCATTTGCTTTTCCTCTTTCTCTTCCTTTTCTCAGATCATTGTTCAATAGAATTTTTTACGAGAAATACAGAAACTTCATAACTATTTTTCAATTTGATCCACGGTATATTCTAATTGCTCTTACCGTATTACGCCATCTTCATTAAATATCAAATTCTGATTTAATAATGTGCAAAGGGCTACGAATCTTCCTTCCAAACAAACATAAACATTCAAATGAAATGGAAGTGATACGTCCCGCTAGAATGTCAGAAACCATCCATTGCTCCATTGTACATATCTCGCCGCGTTTCAAACGATTTCGAAGAAGCAACTATTCTCGTTCCGTGAGACACCCTTTATATGATTCCCGCACACCTGTTACGTAATGTAATCGTATATTTCTCTCTGTAAGATCGAGTCACTTCCGTGTAACTTAGGCAGAGAGCTCTAACGAACTTCGGTCGTGATTGGGTTGAAGGCTGGTGTCTTCTAACGGTTTCCCTCTATAGCGGCGTGGTCTTCGAGATCATTCAATAAATGATCATCTACCGAAAAAAATTTGCTAGAAAAGATACAAAAATCAGAAGAACATATCGAGGACACGCTCGTCAAAGCGGAGAAACCGTTAGAAGCTGAGAAAACGTATAACACTCATTATCGATAAACGATAATGAGAGAAAGGCAGACAGGCTGATAAAGTGGACCCCGTATGTCCTGTATTCAGGAGTGGACACCAGTGGTCCGGCTCACGGGGGTGCGGTGGGTACGGGTCAGGATAACACGAGTGGTGGCGGTACCGCCAGTGGTCAGGGCGAGGATCTCTACAAACTCGAGGCCGAGATTACGGAGCTCCAGAGAGAGAGCGCTCTGGTCGAATCGCACATGTTGCGCTTGCGCTCTGATATCACCGCCATGGAGAATCAGCTGAAGCAAGGTGAAAAGGTCAGTACGGTTCTACTCAATCGGTAATCGATCATTACCGTGTGACGATAGAAAAGACACCGAAATTTCCGGTGATTAATAATGCAGATATCTATTCGATCTATGCTAGAGCTTCTAGGTACCGTTCACGGTTTCGTTACTTTCAACAAGAATTTATAATCATTCCGATTAGTTACTTTCGTGTCAGAGGAAATTCAAATGGACGATTGTTTGTTGAAGATTTCAAAGTAGATTACTTTCAAATTGTAGATAAAAATTTATAAATTCTCAGTAGTTCATCTGCTGCAGTTAATGTGCAGTTAATGCTATCAGTTGCTGGTACTGTTGTCTCTGAAAGAAAGTGTTTTTATCGAATAATTGAAATGTTTGTTAAATTAATTTATCAAAATCTATCAAATTAATTAGATTTCGGTTAAACGTTTCCTAGAAGGTTGTATAGATCTTTATGTTTAGCGCTGAAAACATTTTAGTAACAAATCGCTTTCACCTTTGTGCAGGAAACTACGGTGATTTCCCAGCGGAACAACAACCTGAACGAGTATTATCAGTCGCTGCGCGACAATATGATCACGTTGCTGGAGCACGTGCGAATACCGAACGCCCCGGGCGGACCGCAGGAGAAGATGGGCCACGAAAACTTCGACAGTTACCTGACGAAGCTGCAGACGCTCTGCACCGCCGACGGTTATTGCGCGGACGAGGCGAACAGACCGATATACGAGACGGTGAAGACCGCCCTTCAGGACTTCACGGTCCTGCCGACACCCATCTGAGACCATCCTTAAAGCTCGATGATCGGTTGCAGCGGGTCATGGACGCGTTTCGCGCAGTGACCGATCGTTGTGACGAACAATGAACGTAGCTGGGACTAGGTTTACCAAACGGGACGAACTTGTGCGTAACGTCGTACGTGAACGTAAATGTCGGCGGTTGGTAAACGACATGGCGAACGAAAAGGGAATTTACCCTCCCACGCCAAAGACTTCCGGTCGACGCAAAGCACGTCGCCATACTTCGCTGGGAGGAATCGACAAGAAGACAATGTTTTTACGAATTATCGGATGATCCGAGTGTCGTCGGGGGACGAATGCACGCCGACGACTGTATAGACTGTCAGTAAATGTTACAACGGTATCTAAAAAACAAAGAAATGAACGGCATCCCCGTCGATGGTCAAATCAATCCGCGGACTGACGTAAATCATAGCGATATCTTTTGTACATAAACGAAACTCATTACCACGTAAGTATTAAGGCCAGCGGCACAGTAATGGCCGGGCAGTCATCATGTAAATACAGCGCGACAGAGGGTGAAGGCGTTTCTATCGTTTAAGGGACGTTGTCAGTGTAGTCATCTCATCTCTAAGATATGTAAAAACAATGAATGATAAGGGAAAATACGAAGAACGGCACGGCCGGCGACGACAGGCCGATTTAACTTAGGTGTATATCGAATCGTATCGCTCATACC